ATTGTTTAATGTTTTAAATTTGCTGGAAATTATGTTCCATATGTACAATTCCATGTAATGCATAGCCAGATTAATTATCCTAAAACTCAACAAAACTAATAAATTTGACCCAGCTGAGCTGCAGCTCCAACGTACGAAATACGAATGATTGAAAATTTGAACTCAAATTAACCTAAAAAAGAAAATGGAAAATTCGAACTCAAGGGCTTGTCTAGCTCAGGATCGATCAACCATCGTCTTAATTTGCGTTATTAATTTTTTTTTGACCATTCTAATTATCGTACTTTTTCTATCAATTAATTTGACTTTACCAATTAATGTTTTGACTTCAAAGTTCAAACTCTTTGATGGGAACTCCGTTTATTAACTTCACATGCATGTTGGATCATTGAATTGTAGCTACTACAGTTCGTTGGGAAATAACACAAACTTGTTAATCATTTTGCCAATATATGCAGGATTTGAGGATTTGAGACCCTTTTTGTCATTTGAATTAAGAGTTTATCATTCTATTAACAATTTATATAATTGTTGTTTTTATTAATTTTTTCTATAATTTAAAAAAATTATCTTAACACTATTAATGGAGTTTAAAAACTTTACCAGCATAATTAATAATGTCTGTAAGATATATTTAAAAATTAATATAACAAAAAAAATCTTTCGGTTTCTTAATTCCATTTCTAAAGTTTAAACACTCTACTAACGAGTTATAGAAAATAAACTCTTTGAAAAAAAATATAGCATATTGTGCTTATAAAGTGTTAAAACTTTTCTATCAAAAAAAAAAAAAAAACTATTACAACTTTAATGTTAAAAACCTCCCTTTCTTGAATTAAGTTCTGATAATTACATATGGTTTAATAGTAAAAAAGCTGTTTATTAGGGAATTAGGATGGAGAGATCTCCCATTTTAATTTGACTTGGTATGAATGAGTTGCATGGAAATTTTATTCTCAATCTTTCAAATTAGGTACTATATATGTATAATTCTTAGACTGAGGATTACTTGCATTTGGAGTTAAAATATATAAATCAGTACTGATTTTCTTGAAGGATGACCTTTTTACCAACCCCCTTGGTCGGTAGTAAAATAATTTGAATTCAAACTCCATAATTTCAACTGTCAATTAGCTATAATTCTTGATTTCTTTGTAATTCCCTACTTGACCTTGGGCTTGCATGCCTTGCCGCATCCAAATATAAAAATTTTGAAATAAAAATAAAAACAACAAAATGCATGTACCGTTGGTCAACTGAACTAAATGTATGGAAACATAATTCTTTTGCTTCTAAAACGAATCATATTCAATTTTGGTCAAATCCTATGGCCAATAAAAAAAAAACATCAAATGCTTCTAATACTGCCTCCTAAGCATTTCAAAAAGATAAAATTTGAATATGATTTTTAGTGGTTAGCAAGAGTTTAAAATCATTAAGTCATAGATTCGAGTTCCATATTCAATGTTAATTAGCATTATTTTAACTTAAAGTTGAATACATGCATTTTCGACCCTTATATTTCTATATGTATTATAATTTTTTATATTTAAAACTGTCAATGATTGAATTTAATGGCAGAAACTAAAAGTTTAACATTCTAATAAAATAAAAAATATTATTTTAAAGGGGTTTTGAGGTAGGTGGAGAAAACGTTGCAAACTAATAAAATTAAATATTATGAGAGATGACGAAAAGAAAGATTGAAGCAAACCCTATTGAGCAAATTCGATGGTAGTAAGAAAGGAAGAAGGAGGTCGAGAAAGGTGAAAAATACGGTGACTTAACAATTTTAGAAAAAAGAAAATTGCACCCAAAATTCATCAATTGTCCAAAAAAAAAAAAGTATATTCATAAAAGCGACTTAAATTAAAATCGCATTATTAATTAGATTTATGTATCCTATACATTAACATATGTGCTATATTGATTTTTTTTAGTAATAATTTCAATTAGAATATATATTACTACCAAAACAATGGGCAATAATTAAATAGGAAGCAAGTGTCCCAAAAAGTAAAAAATTTGGAGGGTGATTATGATTTTAGTAGCTATACTAATTCTAATTAATGTTATTTAATTAATATGGGCTCATCTTAGTTGTACTTTTAGATACGTGACAAATTCAAACAGCTTATAATACAAGCCAAGGGCAGTTGCCAAATTGATAATTAATTATCTTAAGTAGTGGGTAGTTTTTTTTAATTGATAGCATTGATTATTAAATACAAATTTATATTTGAAAAATTGATATCTTTTTGACTTTATGAAAAATTGGGATGAAACAATGTATATTTGAAAAACCTTCCAAAAGTCAATATTATGCTATAAAAATGCCATTTGGCAACCTAAAGTTAAAGTATCACGAGTTTTAAATAAGTGGGAAAAAAATTAATATATGCACGAGTAACATGTGATTATTATTTTTCAGTATTCGCGAAAATAATTACTAATATCGATTTTCACTGAAGGGAACATGGCTACACCAATTTTTTTTTTTTTTTACAATCTTTTCATTTTTCAAACTGTTTGCTTTTATTAATGAGGTTTTAACTTAACGGTAAAGAAGATGTCTTCTAATTTCGAAGTTTTAGACTTAAGTTGTATTATATGAGTTTAATTGTTTAATTATGTTTTAATTTATTGATTGATTTTTTAGATATTGTAACTTAATTATGATATAATAATTGATTATTTAACTAATTATAATTTAAAATTTTTTTTTTTTTATATTTAAAGATTAAAAACTCTGATTATTGAAATTAAAAATCTATGATTGTATTAATAATATATGATATATTGATAAATTACTAAACTCTTAATTTTAATAATTAAAATTTGATGCTACAATTTCAAGTATTAAAAAAATTTTTTACAACTCTAACATAAAAATATTGTTCAAACTATTCCTTTTTAAAAAATAATTATTATTTTATTTTATTTCCAAAAAGAAAAGAAAAACTTGCTACAAAAGAAACCATAAAGAGTAAAAATCTTAAGAAAGTGATTAAAATGAGTACAACAAAATCAAGAAGAAAATATCAAAGGAAAGTTGTAAGATAAAATTAGGTGACTTTAACCATTCCGAAACTCAAAGTAAAAATATCTTTAGACATAATTATATATATATATATAAATTTTAAAAACGTAATATTACGTAGGATAAAACATTAAAAAATATTATGAATTATTTTATTTTTTAAAATAATTTTTTATATTTTTATGATATTTAAATAATTTTTTATTTTTTTAATTTGTATCTAAATTAACTCTTATTTTAAATAAAAAATTAATTTATATTAAGAATTTATTTAGATACAAATTAAAAACTAAAATTTATTTTGAGATAAATTAAAATTTACAAATTTATTTGAATGTAAATTAAAAGTCATTAATTTATTTAAGTATAATACAAATATAAATACTTATCTAAATAAAATAATAAATTAGAGAGTTTTTTGGTTATTTTACCTTATTATGTACAATTAATCGTGAAATAATATTTTATCATTAATAATTCTTGATCATTGTTTCGCTTAACTGGAAATATAGAATCCGGTCAAAATTTTGCAAGCTTTTCTGCTTGATTATTATTCTATGTTTTACGAAATATAAGCTGTAAAATGGCATTGAAATACAAAGAATTTTGAGTTCCCCCGCAAATCTCCATTACCATTACAAATCTTTGTTTATCCACTTGCAATCATTTTTTTTTTTTTTTGAAAGTGATGTTCTTATATTTGTTAATTTTTTTTTATTGATTGATTAGTTGATTTATTTGTGAAGCCATCTGCTCACGAATTTCACATGATATTTTTCAACAACTTTAAATAATCAAAGCAATTTGGAAACGCAAATGTAAGGGAAAGAGAGAAAAAGTCCAATAAAATCAAACCAGGAGGAGTGCTTAACTTGATATGTCATGTCATTTTTTTTTTGGGAGGGAATGTGTCATGTCATTTTTAAAAAGAAATGTGAGCTGCCAATATCAGACCAAAACTTATGCCCTCATTGCAATGTTATTAATTTTTCAAACAAATCCACTAAAAGGCATTCTCACACACACATATTTATATTTATATATATATATATATATATATTATCTAATCATTACTAATCACCAAGACTTGAAAGAAGTCGATCGGCTCATGTATCAAATTCTTTTGCTAGTGAGAGATGAAATTATTATTTTATAAAGAAAACTGTAATTTAAAAATAAAAAATTATAAATATTAAAATTTAAAATTATTAAATATCAATTTTTAATAATTATATGAAATAATAAAACTAAACTCAGATTCAGAATGATTGTTATTAGTCCGCCAAAAGCGGCTGAAGAATGAAAATAAAATATTAAGTCTGACATTAATGATAGGATTTCGGAACCACCATATGTGATATATGTCATGTATGAAGTAGCAACATATGATCTGTCATGCAAAATAATTTAAAAATAAAAAGGCTAACTCGTAATAAAAAGGAAAAAAAAGATAGCCAATATTAGCATTCATTTTTCTTGAAAACTATTTATTATTATTTTAATACAAGTATCTCCCGTTTGTTTTAAATAAATCTAATAATTTAAAATATAATATAATAATATGATACGAATATAATTTAAATTTTTAGTAATAATTATATATGAGTAATAAAATTAAAAAAATATATTTTATTTTTTCATGTTAATATAAATTATAACACATAATTTTAATATAAAATATAATATAAATATACAAATTACTAAATCTTTAATCCAATGATTTGTATGTTTGACAAATAATTTTCAGTTAAAATAAAAGTTATGCTTATTTCATAACTGTTTTTTGTCTTGACAGAAGAGGTCTCAGACTGGGATCCCAAATATTGTTGGACAAAGAGGGCAAGATTTTGCTGAAATGACAATAGAAATTACTCGTACTAGTTCATGTAACTGGATACATCAACAAGTAGAAACAGTCAAAACATTGTTCCTTCTTGTCCTCGTATTTGTTCACCTGACAGTGTAGGTTTCAATTTCTTTCAGCCAAAAAATTAAAGGGCAAAGCAGCATGAACTGATCTACGAAAACGTCAAATGTATTAAGACATTAGCTGTGAGACCATACATAAAATTTTTTTCTGGGCACTATTACTCCAAAAGATGTAAAAGTATTTATAGAGATATGTACAACAATGACACAACTCTTACTTTAACAATGAATGGTAATATATGGTTGAGCTTGAAAAGAATAAAAGGCTCAAACACACTGGCTCACTTCCTTGATCTGATGTCTCCTGCATGCTGAATAAATGCATTAACTTCACTATCTCAGTTCTCAAACTCTCACCTGAATAAAATAAACATCACCACTAGTGTGACAAATTCCAATATCTGCTTCACTATATTCTTGACCACTTCTGAGTAATGCTTAAACCATAGACTTTAAAATCAATTATGTGAAGACAAGGAAACTAACCTTTGGTACATATTTGGCACAGACAAATTTAACTCATTTCAGCAAGATATCTGCAACCAAGAATGATTAAAATTTATCATCAGGCACAAATCCCCTTTGCACCATTTCATCATGAAACCGAAAGGCCTCCTTTATGTTGTCCTGGGTGACATGTCCATTTATGAGTGATGTGTATGTAGACCTATCAGGATCTATGCCCTTCTCAATCATCTTCCTTAATACCATTTCAGCTTCTTGCATTCTACCCTGTCTACAAAACCCATTGAGGATTATGTTGTATGTAATAACATCAGCCAAAAGTCCTTGATTCTCCATCTTCTTAATCCAAACAAAAGCTTTGTCCATATTATCTTCTTTGACAAATCCATTGATAAGGGTGTTGTATGTGATGCTATTGGGAACAATTCCTTCTGAGGTCATCTTGGATAGAAACTCATCAGCTCTTGATGCATCACCTGAACGACAATAGCCCTTTATGATACTGTTACAAGTCACCACAGTTGGCTTAATACCATTCCCAACCATTTCATCCCATAACCTGAATGCCTCCGGAACATGACCTATGCTGCAAAATCCATTTATCAAAGTTCCATAAGAAATGTGATTAGGAAGAATCTTTCTAGGGATCATACCAGCCCAGAGCTGCTTGGCTTTCTCCATTTCACCTACCTTGCAAAACCCGTCAATTAGGGCATTGTATGTCACAATGTCAGGCTTAATATTCCTTTGAGTCATTACATCAAACAAGCTTAGAGCTTTATTCATATTTCCATCCTTACAATGTCCATGAATAAGCGTTGTGAAAGTGTAAAAATCAGGTAAAACGCCCCTTTCTGCCATTTCATGCAATAGATTGTCTGCTTCAGTGAGCATCTTCTCCCTGCACAGCCCATTCAAAATGGTATTGTAAGTAACAACATCCATATTACATCCCTGCTCTAGCATTTCATCCCTGATCTTCAAGGCCTCCGACATGACACCATTTCTGCAATACCCATCTATAAGAATAGTATAAATCACATTATCTGGAACCAGGCCAGCTCTCTTCATATTAGTAAAATACACTAATGCCTGATTAAGAGGTCCATTTCTACAAAATACCCCAATAAGTGAACTAAAGCTGACCAAATCAGGAACAACACCTCGACGCAACATTTCATTGAAAATGTCGTCAGCTTCTGATATATTATTTTTTCTACAATTCTCAACAAGCAATGTGTTATATGTAGCAGTATCAGGAGTCAACCCTATCTGCAGCATCTCGTCTAGAACTTCTTTTGCTCTTTCAAAATTTCCTCTCTTACACAATCCATACATGATTGCATTATAAGTAAAAAGACCTGGTTTCAACCCTTTACTCGACATCGAGTTCATCAATTCAAAAGCTTCTTCCAAATGCCCTTCACGACAATATGCATTAATTATCGTATTGTAGGTCACAATATCAGAATGAACCCCCTTCTCTTTCATTTCTGATAAAAACGACTCAACGCTACTGACCTTGCTATCTTTACATAAAGCATTAACCATAATATTTAATGTATACACATTTAATTTAACCCCAGCTCTAACAACTTCATTATACACTTCCCAAGCCAAATCAACCCATCCAATCTTCACTAACCCACCAAGAAGACTATTACAAGCATTAATAGAAACACAAAAACCTTTACTTCTCAAAATCCTAAACGCCTCAGATCCTTCTCTTAACTTCCTAGCTTGCACATAAGTCCTTATTAACAAATCAAAAACTGAAGCATTTGACCCAAAATTCCCACATGTCGAAACCAAAGACTCCACAATTTCAACACGTGAAACCCCACTTTTCCTAACCATCCTAAGAACCAGAGCTTGTGCATCAGATAACCTTCTACATTTCACAAGAACATGAATCATTGCACTTAAGGACATCGAAGAATGCTTAAAATTCGAGCAATTAAGCACAAGAAAATCAACAAATCTTTGACCCAATTGCAAATTGTCACGGCAATGCGAAAGAACCTGAACTACAATCAAGGGGTTTAATCGAAATCGACAATTCCGCAAAGAATTCATATTACCTTGCTTTAAACTGAACAGAATCTTCTCCACCATGAAAGAATGTGGTGCCCCATTTGATGGGGTTTCTAGTGTTTGGAGAGTTCTAAAATCAAAATGAGGTTTGGGAATTTGATTGGGAAGGGAAGAGAGGGGAAGAAATTCATGGTGCGGTACAGTTTTGAGAGGGAGACTTTGAAAGAGTATCCGTGACATGAGTAAGTTGGCATAGGTTCAAACCCTTTGTATCAATTTTGAAAGTTGTTCAATCTGCCATTGCAAAAATTAAAGTTACATTAGCAAAAGCAGCAAACATATTAAGAAATCTTATCAATTATATTACAGCACAACGCCAGCAGAGTAATTATTCAATCCATACCGAATGATTATGAATCTACATTGCAATTAAACTATGCAATGAATGTTTAAAACATTCATAAATGCCTAAACAAACAACTCCACAAAATCAAACCTATGCATGAAAACATTTAAGGAGCTACGCACTCTACCTGAGTCATTAAGTGCCCTTCTTTGGCTTACAAAACATAATTCACCCCTATAATCATGTTCAGCCCTAGCACACATGGTAATCAACATTGGTCCAAATAATATACTTTAATTTCCACTTAAGTATTAAAATCCAATCCAATCATAATAAGAAGTACAAGCTAACAAATTTCAGATCAAATCCAATCTTGCTACCCGTAACGCCAATATTTTGATGGCAAAATCATTCAAAAACACCATCTTAACAACAGTACAGCATACTTTCAAGAAAAAAAAATCTAAGTTGTGCTGGATCTTACTTGCTGGGACTTGCCATTTTCTGCGCGGGGCTGCACCCGTGTGGACATCACTTGACATTGACAATGATATGGGATTTGCGTCAGATTGATGGGATACTGTTGGAGAAGTTCGCCGCTGATTAAGCCCAAGTCGATGCCCACTTTCTTCGATTAGCCAGTAATTTCTTCTTCGAATTTGTATAACTTTCCCCGTAACTAAACACACAAATTTCTCCGAAATGAAGAAATTTCCTGTTTTTCTAACAGACGGCGTTTTTTAAGTGAGAAATTGTAAATGGTACTTGGGCTTTGGGCTTTGGTTGGGGAAATTACAGGTTAAAAATTAAGAAAGTGTAGAATTTATCAAATTTTCTCTTGGATAAAAAAATACAACCTGTAAAGGACGCAGATAATTTTAGAATGACGTGGCAAAAACTGATTGGAGGTGGCACCTCATCGGACGTGTCTCAATTAAAAACAAAAATTCTTTATGACCTGATGCGGTGCATTTTCATCATATTAATTATAAAAACCCTCGGGTAACAGCATCTTACCAATTACATTCAAACTCCCAATAATATCACGCCACGTGTCATACCAATAGTGCATTTTTTGCAAAATTTTCAACAGCTCCTCCGCATTTGCAAAATTTTCAACCACATCTCCTTCCCTATTGGCAGTCACAATATTAAAAATGACAGTACCCTCTATATAAACAACAAAATTAACTCCAGCTTTGACCTCCGCAAGTAAAAACCCTATCTCTGAAAAAAAAAAAAAAATCAAATTCTATAAAATTTCCTCTCAATCTGAGAAAAAGAATAAAATTATAAATCTTTAAGATTTTTTTTTTCTTTTTCTCTTTTCATTGCTCTCATTTCCGGCATCTCCGATCCGTAAAACTCCATCGACAGAAAGAAAGAGAGGAAGATAAGATCAAAGGTTCTAATCTTGGATGTTCATTTAAATCTTGATTTTGTTTTGTTTTTGTTTTTTTTCTCTACTAATTCATTTAATTGCTTCTATCTATTTTTTTTTTTAGCTAAAAAAGAGGCTCGAGTTTTTGTCGCTGTTATATTAGAAATAAACGACGACGATGAAGAACACTGAAAGACTCGCCAATTTGGCTTTAGCAGGTTTGCCTTTTTTGATACTTTCTTGATTAATTTTAGTTCATTATTTACATTTTGGTTTGTTTTGAACGAATTCTGTTTAATTTGATTTTTTGTTCTATTTCTTTATTCAGTTATTGAATTTAGTTGAGTAGGAGCGGAGAGAATTCAGTTAGTTAAAGTGATTTTGGCAGTTTTAAATGACAAAAACAAAAGAAGAGAACTGATATTCTAGAAGTGATTTGGGAAGTGAAATTTGACTTTTTTTAAAGGTTTTGGGAATGTATAATTTGGGTAGAAATGGGGTATCTTTGTTGTCTTTTATGGTATGAATGATCTATGTTTTATTTATGAAGTTATGGATTATATGTGGAAAGTTTAAATGAATTACATTTCATTGGTCTCTGAATCTTTGCGCTTTTGAAAGAACTTAAAAAGGTATGGAAATCTAGGTCCTGTTTGGTTGTTCCTTTGGACATAAAACCAATAGTTTTGAAGAATGAAGAAGTAACACAATGCATGAGTTTAGTTTTATATGAAACAATTATGTTAGAATTTGTGTTATATTTTAACCATTTGCTTATTTTAATAAAATATGATTTTGTTCTCTATTCTTTCTTTTTAGCAGCTTTTTATGAACCAAACTAACTACCAAAATCAACAAGCAAATGGATGCACTTTGCAGTTTGATTCCCATATCCCCACCTTTCTCAGCCCAAATGCATTACTATTGTATCTTTGGAAGTATTAGATTTCATACCTCATGAATCTTGGTCAGTATACTGGTGATAAAAAATAGATATCATCCTTGTGGCTTATTCTTTTAGAGTATGTATGTAACCAAGAGCCTTTCATATTATAAGTCACTGTAGGATATGAGATCTTTAAGGAGGTACACACATATTCTCTTTACATGTGGTTGAGAAGCTTGACTCTTTTTAACATAGCGTACATGATTTGCTATAAATACAGGGTTGACATTGGCACCACTTGTTATGAAGGTAGACCCTAACTTGAATGTTATTTTGACTGCATGCCTCACTGTATATGTTGGCTGCTATCGTTCTGTCAAGCCAACTCCACCATCGGTGAGTATGGTAGCATTTAAATTAATTTCTCCACTTTATTGTTTTGTCATTAAGGACTTTAGGTCAAAATTGGCTAACAATGTCATGTCTATCATACAGGAGACAATGTCTAACGAGCATGCTATGCGCTTTCCGTTCGTTGGGAGTGCAATGCTGTTATCACTTTTCTTACTGTTCAAATTCTTATCAAAAGACTTGGTTAATGCTGTATTGACATGCTATTTCTTTGTGCTTGGAATCATCGCTCTTTCGTATGTTCTTTCCATATGGATTTGCTATTGTTATTTTGCTTTTATACAACTAATTCACCTGAAGGTATATTCATTTGTATCATTATCTCATTTATTCTTTCTGCCATTGTTCTCAGGGCAACAATATTGCCTGCCATAAAACGCATCTTGCCAGAGCAATGGAATAAGGACCTTATCGTTTGGCGTTTTCCGTACTTCCGCTGTATGGCCCTTCTTTTATTGTTCTTTTGAAGTATATATTAAGTTTTATTTATTTTGTGATTTGTTTAGTTTTTGAATTGGATATAACTCTTTTTTTTTTTCTTATTTATACTATGTTATAACTGTTGCTTCTACCTTATTTCTTTATGAAATATTCTGCTTTATTTTGTCTTTATTGCATCTTTTATTGAGGCAAGCGTCATTGATATTTGATTGGAAGATTCGGAATGTACTTGTATTCTTGAGTGTTTCTTCCTGATTCAGTCCTATTATGGTATTTGCCAATTTTTTTTCTGGATATTACTTTGGATTAGTTTCTTATGTGGGGAAAAAAGTAATGGATGGAGATAGGAGGAACTTTCTTTTTCTTTTTTTTTTTCCTCATAAAAGGATAGTAGGTGCATTTAAGTTTTCTGTCTTTTTTTTTTTTATATAATTTGGTAGTTTCTTCAAAGCTGCGCCTCAACTTTGTTTCCTGGATTTGCTCTTGGAATTTCCATGAATCCAAAATTGAGTTAATTCTTTGATTGTCATGATACCTTTTGGATTTGACATTACTTTGGCAGTTCACGAGCACTCTGGTTTTTGTTCTATATTAATTTGCGAAGTCTGCCCACTGGAATAGGCTGAATGCAATTTGTGTGGATGATTTCTTAGTCTTAGGTGTTAATTTTTTTGCTGGAGTGCTGTAACATTTTCCTGTTTAATGTTGAGTATATCTATATTCAGTTATGTCCGTCATTCACTCCATAGAATTCTTATTTGATCTAGTTGACATTACCTTGCTTGTATTATGCAGAATGATGTTTTTCCTTACACTTTTTGAGATGGAGTGCTGTAACATTTTCCTGTTTAAACAGCTTTTGAGATTGAGTTCACAAGATCTCAGATCATAGCTGCAGTCCCTGGAACCTTTTTCTGTGCATGGTATGCTTCGCAGAAGCATTGGCTGGCTAACAACATTCTGGGCCTTGCATTCTGCATTCAGGTTTGGCCAAAATATGTGTTTTGTTGATCTTGCTATTTTGAACAGTGATATATGATTAATGAGTTATTTGCTGCTTGGGAAATTATCTACTCCTTTTTCTATGATTTTGCAATGAGACCTAGGCAAAAACAATATTTGTTAGGTGTACTTCTTGTCAGTGTTCAAACAAATAATTTGGAAGTTTGTATTTCGCGCCCAGTGTTTCAAATTGTCTAAAAAAATTGAATTCATTATTTGTTAGAGTCTTTTAAATCACTTTAGTTTTGACTATGAAATAATTTATGTCAGCATATAGTTGGTCCTGTCAAATTTGTGTCTAGGGTTAAATCAAGCAAGTCAAAGATTATGAGAGCATTCTTTTTCCTTGTCTTTTAATAATTTCCTGAAGATATTTATGATTTATCTATATTTCATCACCTTGTTTGCTTTCTCCTTCTATCTATTGAAGTTTATGGCTTTTTTTTTTTTTTGTCAAGCAGAGTACATATGTTAACTAGGCTCTGTGGTTTGAAGGTTTCCATTGTTGGTTTTTTCAGGGAATTGAAATGCTTTCTCTTGGATCATTTAAGACTGGTGCCATTCTCCTGGTAAGAAGTGGATTAGTGGTTTTTGTTAGTGTTTATTCATGGGAAGTATTATTCCTTGTTACTGAGACAAGTTAACCTCCTAATTTGATTCTTTTCTAAATGTAGCAATGTTTTGCATGTTTTTTAGCTGATCATAATCTATGAATTATACAACTTTTTTATAGTTGCTTATTCTTAAGATTTTGATCCATAGTTGATTAGCGATCTGCTTTGACAGAGACTTGAATTGGTAATTGTAGCTTCTATCTTACATTGTATGCCAACATGCTTTCATGTTTTGAGTTTTTGAGGTTATTATTAGTTTGCTCTGGTTAGCCAAATTCAAGGCTATGTTTTTGTTGCTGATTAGCCAAATTGCAAAGCTATGTTTGACCACTACATTTACTTGCCTTTTCATGTTCAGCTATTTTTTAATTCCTATGATATTGCCTTCCTTATGCATTGCAGGCTGGGCTTTTTGTATACGATATTTTCTGGGTTTTTTTCACTCCTGTGATGGTTAGTGTTGCGAAGTCTTTCGATGCTCCTATAAAGGTCAGTTCTTTATTGTTTTCTTCATTTGAAATAGTTAGCCTGTTTAGCTTTTGTTTCTAATATATACTTTCTATTTTCAATATTTTATTAAATTTGCTACCTGTGGTGACCTAATTGCTTTAATATATTTCTGCAGCTTTTGTTCCCAACGGCAGACTCTGCACGACCATTCTCCATGCTTGGACTTGGTGACATTGTAATTCCTGGTATGTTTGAAATCCGTTTTTAATTGGTAGGTCTGTTGAATGCTGTTTTTATGACCTGAGCTGTTAGTTTTTAGTTCCTTTTTTATTTATTATGTAGTCATTCTAAGATTTTGAATGTTGAAACAGGAGATATCTAAATGACCGTTTCCTTTCTTAATTGTATTTGGTTTTGTAACTAGAGGTCTTTTTTTTTGTCTTGACAACTGTCTTGCTTCTATTTATATGCATTGAAATTCAAGGCTTACACAATAATTCAATCTCACACAGCGCATGTTAAATGGCTTCAAAAAATTCATAGGTTATATGCTTGACTGCTTCTATTTAACACTAAGGCGTTCTGTTTCTAGAGTATGATCTAATTTACTTTTGTAGCCCATTTGACTTGTGTTGTTTGATTAGGGAAGTGGTTATATAATTTTTCCTTTTCTTTTTTAACCAATGGCTTTATCATAATTGTTCTTAGGATAGATGGCAAAGATTCCTGGGTAGTGATATCATCAGCTGCTGGTGTTTTCCTAATGCCATTTATTATGTGATGAACATTTTTCTTTAGGGCTCTTTATTTAGTTATTAGTATACTCAATTATGGTGATAAATTTACCTTGGTTATACAAAATTGTTTCTCCTTTTAATTTCCATTTTGATTGACCATTATTCCTTTTAATGTTAAAAACTTTCTTCTCAAAGAGTTATGTATAGAATAAGGTATGATCAATATTTTCTGTTTTCATATTGGTTTTTTTCTCCATTGCAGGTATTTTTGTAGCACTAGCATTAAGATTTGATGTATCTAGGGGGAAAGAGAGCCAGTATTTTAAGAGTGCATTTATGGGATACACAGTGGGGTTGGTCCTTACTATTGTTGTCATGAACTGGTTTCAAGCTGCTCAGGTTAACTATTCATGACCCTCTGTTTATCTTCTCTTGCTGTTAATGCATGTGCAGCTAGTTGTATCCAGTGAAAATTTTATTTTGTGGATTATACACTCACCTGATATCTGCTATGCTCATTGTGGTTTCAGCCTGCACTTCTGTATATTGTACCGGCTGTTATTGGATTCTTGGCTGCTCACTGTATGTGGAATGGAGAAGTCAAACCGGTTTGTTCTCATCCCTTGTTTATTCTCTCTGGCATCGTGTTCTGGGCATGGACTTTTTATTTTAATATCTCTTCAAATTGGCTTTTTGACCATAAAAAAGAACAAAGAAAAAGAAAAAAAAAAACCCATGTAGGAGTTGGATTCTTATTGTAAAAATTTGTGTAATTACCTCTGTTTTTCAAGGACTACCAACAAGTATTATTGTCATCTCTTGCTTGCAAAATAACTTGGAGGACATTTGCATTAGAGAATCAGGTGTACTGTTAACAAAAAACAATAATATCATGTTTAATGCATAAGATTATTGATAGGATAGGATGATAATCATCTTATATCATGTTTGATTTGTATTTAAAGAGAGGGATAGGGATTGCAAGGAGGATTAATATCCTCTTGGTATAGGATTATTCAATCCTCCCCAAGTGGAGAAGATTATTTTTAATTCATAAGATTGAACTTTCATATTCAATTATACCCTTAAAAATTATATCTATAATTTAAATTGTATAGACTTTGAGGAAGGACAATTTTGACAAATAAATAAATTATCTTATCTATCCTAATTCTTGCATACATCAAACACAAAATAGAATAATATTATTTAATATAATCCTATTCATAATATGATCTTATCTTATCCTATTATAATCATGTGTACCAAATATGACCTAAAAGAGTATGATTGAGAGTGTGGGATAGAGTCAAGGATTCAGTTATGTCCAAGTCTAGGAAAAAGTAAAGAAAGTGAAATTCATGCTCCATTATGAAATAGAGTTAAAGCATTAAATTTTGCTTTACAAGGGTTTTTGACTGTATTAGATGCAAACGAGAACATGCAGAATGCTGTATAAATTGGTATGCTAAAATAAAATTCTAGATTATAGACTACTTGGAGAGTTAGAGGCAATGGTCAAGGAATATCCTAAGTATCTCAAGTGGGGAATATTTGTTAGTTATAGTATAATTATTTCTGCTATTCAGTTTTGAATTTGATCGATGAAACCATCTTCTATATTTGGATTGTGATTTGGTTAATATGATCTAACATCATTTGCAGTTATTGGAGTTTGATGAATCAAAGACTGCGGTTACATCTCAAGAAAGTAGCGATGACAAATCTAGCAAGAAGGTGGAATGACTTAGAAGCGCGCACAGGCACTGAAACAATGTTAGCTTGAGAAGGGAATTGGTGTTCACTTGAAGTGGCTAACTTGTTCTACTGCAAAACCACTGTAACAGATTTTGGAATTATGCAAGAAATAATATTTAGCCTCTTAATCCAGATAACTTCCATTTTACACAATTCCAATTTTCGTAGATGTTTACAATGTATTTTTTTTTTTAAGGAAAATTAGTTATTTGCTCTTTTTTTTTTTTTTCCAATTTTTCACAATTATACAAAAACCAGGTGAATGTCTGCGTTACTCGTGTACGTCAATGCATTCTGCTGTTTTCCGAAGGCTGCTGAGTTTTTTCATTTTTCTTTTCTTTTTTTTTTTTTTAAGGCTTATGCGATGCAAATTTTGCTGTTTAACTTGGATGAAAAGGTTGGAATATTTTCAGTCTCGTATTCAAACGAATATGCCTAAAGCAACTTTCATGGAAAACGTGCACAGCCAATTGAATGTGTCCGATGTCATCTCTTTGCTGGTTTTTTGCCCAAGGAATCTGTGCTACAGAACTTCATTGCAATGATAATTTCTTTTAAAGAAGAAAAAGCACTGAAGTCATTGTTTTTTATAAAAAAAAATGTTAAAATATACTTATACGATTATTTATGAAATAGAATTTAATTCGATTTATTCGTAATTATTTTATAGTTCATAATCATCATTTTAAGAAAAATAACATTTAACTAGATTTTAAATTTAAATTTAAGCACTGTAATTTTTTTTATTTGTGTTAAAATTTTTTCTTTTTAAAAAAAATACAAGAGTTTATTTACATTTGTATCGTTTACAAATTTTATGTGGCATGTTTCAATGAAATATGTTCATTTAACTGTTGGGAGAAATTGATGTGGTGGATAAGTATATACTGTGTTTGATATTTCTGGGGAAGTAAATGACTGGAGACTAAAAATAACTTGAAAAAGAAAAAGGATAGACAACGAAAGAAAAGAACCAAAACTGGGTTTTAATTAAAACAAAACAAAACCCCAACCGTTAAATTGTGAAATCGAATATGCAAAATTGGAAAGGAACAGGAAAAATAAAAGGAAAAAGCCAAAATACAGTTCCCCCTCCCTCTCTTGTCTTTTCATTCTTCCACCAGAATTTCTCTCTCTCTCTCTCTCTCTCTCTCTCTCTCTTAAATTTATCAAATTAATTGAGACGTAAATGTAATGTAAACAATAAAAAAGGAAAAAAAGAAAACCCATAGAATTGTAAAAGCTTCTGCAATTGAAAACCTAGGTTTTTATTTTGCAAAAATGGTGGTTCCCTTTTTGAGGTCAAATCAAAGGACAAAATTTTGAAGAAAAACAAAGGGTACCCAGATAAAACAATATTTCAGAAACTATGGAAGGTAAATACTTTCGCTTCTCAATCTCAGATCAAATTTTTGAGACTTGGGTTTTTAATTTTCTATTGATTATTGCTGTAAATTTCAAGTTTTTAGCATTGAAATGTGAAGTTGAGATTTTGGGTTTTTCAAAGGCTTGGATTCTGAATTGTGGGTTTATTGGAATTTGGATTGTAAGTTGCATGCATAGAGGAATTTTGGACAATAAGCGTAGAAGCATTTGCAATTTTTTTTTTTTTTTGGGTGTTTGGTTGTTGGGAAAATGGAGGAATAATTATAAAATTCTAGCCATGATATATATATTTTTTTCCAACAAAAGAAAAAGTTGATTTTTTTTTTCTTATTTTTGTCTTCTTTGCTTGGATTTTTTTTTTCAATGATTTAATGTTGTTTTTGGTACATAAGAGAGAAATCCAAACTGGGGGAAGGGAGATCTTAACCTTTGACCTTAATCATTGTGACTAGCGGTAACAACCGCTAAGCGAAGAACAAGTTGTGACGATTTAAGGTTGATTTTTCACTTGCAAATATACAAAATTTGTTCATGGCTTTGCTGATGTAATAAGTTATTTGCATCACGAGTATACGTGTGTTTGTTTCTAATGTTTGCATGTTTCCTTTAGAATGTTGCTATAACTGCAGATTGGAAGTTCGGTTCTATCATGGACCTAGGATATTTTTGTATTGGTAGTTGAAGTATCAATGAATAGCACCTTCTGTGAATCATGTTGTAGGTGTTGTGGATAATCTACATAAGCTGCAAACCTCAGTTCGTCACGCATAATTGAATGTCAAGTGTGAAATCATGCAAATACTTTCAGCAAACCTATTTGAGTAATTCTTTATACTTCTATAAACCTACAAGTAATCCATGAATTTGTTCATTTGGTTCACTTGAAGATGGAACTAGAGGATTTTTGAAAGTCAATTTCTCATGGAATATCATATGAGATGTGCAAGAGGTTTAATGGTAAAGCAAAAGTTACCTAATGAAAGGAAATGCTAGCTAACAACAATTTTGAGAAACTTCACTTAGTTAATGGCTTAGGAAGGCAAATTATTCTTAAGACCATGTTGGAGATCGAATCTTATTAGTTTCCCTATGTTAGATTGAAGCTTTTCCTATGCTACGTTAAGAGGATGAATTTCAGATAAACTTCATTCTATGTATGTTCTTTGGTTCTTTTAATATGTTTCATTGACAATAAAATCCATTATCCTGTTAAGTTCTTTCCTCTATAAGTCTAGTTTTTGTTTTTGGATATAAGAATTATTGCTTCTGTGTGAATCTTATGTGCCCTAACTTGAAAATAACTAATTTAGGAGCTACAATAATGATTCAGAAAACCCTGAGAATGGAGATATAGATTTTTCATTGTTTGGACCCAAATAGAAAAGCAGAAAGAAAAAAAAGATAACATACATTTCTTTGGAAGGAAGGACAGTAAGATCCCAGAGGTCTGGAATAGTTGCCTGTGCTTAGGTGCTATGTGTTCTGTTGGTTGTTTCTCTTGAATATGGGAGATTAGGTGGAGAGGAGGATAAGATATGATGGATGGCAGTGAGAAAAATGACCTATTCTATCATACCAGCCCTAAAGTGCTTGCTTTTTTTGGTGTATGATTTCTAGCCATCTTTAATGATATCTACACACAGTTTTTAGAGCTAGCTGATGTAGGAAGCTGTGTTTGGTTAACTTTTGGTTTAGGGGGAACCGGGGGAATTTTTGGTCATGTAAAGTGTCATAACTGGAGGTACTCCTAAAAACAAGAGAGATATCAAGAAGAATTTGCTGGGAAATGTGAAATCACAGTGAGTATAGTCCAACAAATGTGAAGGTGTATAAAGTGGCTGAAGGAATATAGTGAAATTGTTCGTCTGACTCCTAGTAATTTAGATGAGGTTTTTGTTTTTCTTCTAGTTTTTATTAAGCTGAGTTTCCATCTTCCTTGTCTTACTTTATTTCATGTAGTTGGCTAGTGCCTATTGTACTTCTCATTTGATAGAAAGTAATCCAGCATACTTATCTATGATGCTCTGATTTCTATTATGAAGCATAGCAGCAAAGTTATAACAAAATTTCTAACTATTCTTTATCCCTATCATGTATATCTAACACATTTGTTTCTACTTCTATATGATCATTTTAGATTCAGGTGAAATGCAGACTGAAGAGAATAAAGTTTCTCTAGACGTGAATAAAAAAAGGATGCTCAAGACACCAGCCCAGATTATGGCTCTGGAGAACTTCTACAAAGGTATTAATCCTTTCCTTCTCATCTTGTTTAAATGTTTTCTCTCTTATGTATTGAAAGGAGTTTGGTGCTTTTCCAGAGAATAGATTTCCTTTGGATGAAATGAAAGCACAATTGGCAGTTCAGATAGGGTTGACAGAAAAGCAGATATCTAGTTGGTTTTGTCACAGAAGGTTAAAAGACAAAAGGAGAGATGAATCTTATGCTAATGGGCGACAGGATCATTCTAGTGGTGTTATTCAGGATCATGGTAGTGGGCTCAGGCAAGATTCTTGTGGCAGTATTAAGCAAGGGGATTATAGGCATATTGATCTGAGGGAGGTTGAAAGTCGAAGGATTTATGGCCAAGAGCCTCTGGCTGCTGACCTTACATATGAGCATAGGAGTCATCAAAATCCATATGATGCTCATATGGAGGATACATCTTCTGAAAGTAGTTCATCTTTGCATGATCAGCTTTTTTCTGAAAGTAGGGATCCTTATGACATGCAAGTTTCTGATAAACTTACAGAAAATGGAGCACTTATGCAGATAAACCCAGGGAGTTCTAAAAGTGTGGGTTATAAGCCATCAGGATATTTGAAGGTTAAGGGTCAAATTGAAAATCCTGCTATTACTGCTGTTAAGAAGCAGCTGGGGAGGCATTATCAAGAAGATGGTCCAGTACTTGGTATTGAATTTGATGCACTTCCTCCTGGTGCATTTGAGTTCCTGAGGAGCAATCCGGTCAATGGTAAGTCCAGTCCCCAGATATATTTGTTATATTGACAATTTCCATAGAATGATGAAACCTGTTCTGGCAGAAGGGGTTCTTAAATTTGTTGTTATTGTCATATTATTTATTGTTTGTTACTTTTTTTGTCCACTAAACTTTTATTTGTTTTTGAATTTAGAAAATAATAGTTACATTGAACAGATTTCTTCTGCGTTTAGGCATTTACTTTACTGATTTATAGTGTTTCAAAAGCAATGCGGTTTTAGTCTTGGAGAAAGAGGCTTAAGCCCTAAGGCATTTGAGCATAATCCTTTTGAGTACTAATTTTTATTTATAAAATTTAGATAATAATTATACAAATTAATAACCGTTGATAAATAACAACTAAAATTGTTCTACAAAAAAAATTAATAAAATTGATATGCGACTTATCACTTCTCATTAAAGGAGCCTAGACCTTAACTCAAAGTAAGATCAATGATAAATTAAACCTGAATGAGTAGCCCATTAAATCAGTTTAGTCCTAATGCACAGAACCCTTTCTTCATTCTCTAATATAAATCATAGCCTTTATGCCTTTCCATAACCTTGAATGTTTACTTTCTTATTCCATTCCCATTTCTACTTTCCTATTTGTTTTTCATCCCCCATTCCCCTCGGTTTCATTATCTATTTTTCTATTCTGATCTCTTTATGTCCTACTAATTTTGTCTGCTTTCTTCTCTATTCTCCCCCTTTAAATTGACCTCCCTCTCTTCTGCTGCCACAGGTCTCTCTTTTGATTGCATGACACATCTTATTTCTCGTTTTATTGTCTGTATTTTTGCTTAATATAAGATTTGGAAGGACAAGTTAGTTGATCATGAGAGTTAAAATGCAGCGACAAGGTTTCAAAAGCATACGCATTACCTGTCTTCTTAAAAAGGTGTAAGCCCTGCGGTGAAGTTTATGCTTCAGTTGGAAAGGCATATGCCTATGAGGTGTATATTTGACATCTTGCTGCAATTTACAATGGCTTCACCTGTGGCATGCCTCATTGTGCTTCTTGAAAATGCATTTAAAAACACTGTTGACGAACATACCTAGTACTAGCAAAGTATCAGAAAGCATGAAAGTAAATGAAATTTGCTTTTGGGATTACAGCATGCATGGTTCCTGAGAAAGTAATCAGTTGCAACAGTTTAACTTCAATTTTCTTATATTTTGGGTATGTGTGATTTGCAATTGAGTGGTGTATAGAACTTATTTTGAGCAAGGTGTATTAGTAGAAAATAAATCTTCCATGAAGAGTTTGGTGCAATTCCTTTGCTGGATTAGCATGGTTATGGAAAGTAAGAAATACTTTTACTCCTTAGCTTAGACTCTAGAATTTAAGCTGCATAGAAGGGTTTTGTAGTTGTCATTTGAAATAATGGTAGCTTGCGTTGAAGTTTCTTTTATTACAAAGGCATAACTGCCCAAAGCAAAGAAACAATGTTAAAAACCAATCTGGTGATAAGGGGAAGGTTTAAGAGTTAAGAGGTTCAACTGGAGGTTAATGTCAGCATCACTTAATGGATAATTTAAAATAGTATGGAAATAGAATAATGATAAAAGTCCTAAGTGGCTGGGAAATGACTATGAATAGGATGGATAAATTTGAATCAGAAGCAGAGGTGTTTGTGTCAATGGAACATGCTTGTCTGAAGCATGACATATTCATAAAGAGTGCACTAGTGAGAGAATAGCTGCTTTGGACAGCTGTACCCTACTTTTTCTCCTTTCCTCTGTCTACCTTCCTTTGTCTGCATGTGTTTGTATCTCCTGGCCTCCTCACCTGTACACCTCTTGTCTCAGTTCTATCAGCAGAGGGCACTCTTACTGCTATGCTTCCCTTGTAGTCTTTATGCTTAACGTTGATCATGTATCTTCAATTTTGAAATATTGGAACTCTCATGTCTATCTTCTATTTGTTGCTCCAGCAGCGTCAATCTATGTTGGAGATCCCCAACAGCCCCATTCTCCTGATATCTATGGAGTTATAAAGCAGCCGAATCTTAACATTGTAAGTGGACTCTCTGATGCATTATTTCCACATTTTAACATACATAGTGGACAACCAAACTATATTTCTATTATACTCTATAATTATATGACTCTGATACACTGTTGAAAATTAGTGAGAGTTCAATCAGTATATGAACTAACTATAATGTTAAACATTTTTGTCCGAAGGTGCCATATTCCAATTCTGTTGAGAGATAATTGAATTCAGGGTATTGTCTTTGATATCAGAGGTTTGCTGTGAGTATTATATGTGTCATATACTGCTAGTATTTACAGGGGTTAAGGCCGAGGAAAAGTGCTATACTTTTTTTATCTTTTAGCAACTTTCTCTGGCCCCACTATTTATTGTCGGGAAATAAAGGAGAAATTCTCCAAAAAATTCTTTGGAAGGTAGAGGAATCTTCTATCCTTGCAGAGAAATCTATCCGAGATCCACCTGTACATGGATCTTTTAGTTGAATAGTGATACAACCAATTCCAGCTGGAGCTTTTGATCTTGCAGCCTGAAAGCTTTGGTTGGTTCTTTTACCTTCTGTGATCCTCAAGTGTCCTTGATTCTTGGGTGCATGGAAGTCACCGTAATTCTTCCAATTAGGAGCTATATTGACATCAGTTATAACAAAAAAATCATATTTAACGAGATGGATATCATCTTTCTTTTAGAATAAGATATTCAAAGTGATTTTTTTATGATTCATCTTTTTCTGTTTAATGCCCCTGTAGATAAATGAAGTACATAATTCCAAGATGAGTTCTCAGGATTCTTGTATGGAGGGTACAAAATTTAATACTGTGCATGGGTCTGAAAGACAGGAAAGGAAATCTCACCATCAATTAAAATACAAGTCTTCTGTTCTTTGTTCCAACCCTTTTCCTGGCCAGAACTCTTTGTTCGATAGCAATAAAGGTTCTTCTGAAAAAACTGCTGTCAGTGATTGCAAAAGAAGTGGGATGAGCTCTAAGCTTTCTGTTGAAAGGATGGGATCAGATTCTCTTTCTAACCATCCTGGCTCCTATGGTGGGAAAATTGCTAATGAACAAGAAAAGTCTTGGTTGCATGACAATGATAATCATACCTATAAGGCTCCAAAGAATGAAAACCTGTCTAGAACTTCAAATTTGATACATCGGTGCAGTGAGTTCATAGGTCCTGAGAGAGGGCCCTCTGCAAGGATGGCAAAGGTGTCACTATTGGCTTATATTTCTGCTCTCCTGCTTTTTCATTCAGAAGTGGCAGTTGCAAATGTTTTGGTTTGAAAATCATGTGTTTCACATAAATGCAGGTGGAGAAACCTGGTGGGGAGTGGAAGCTAAAAAAGGGGTTCCCGGTCAGAGTTAAAACTGATCCAACAAATGAACTGAGAGTAAGTAGAAGCTTTAGTTTCTTCCGGTCAAATATGCATACCATGTATAATGTATTAATGTTTTGCTTTTGACATCCCTCTTTCATATTTTAAGGTTGCCAAACGAGTCAATGTTGAATTTCCTCTGCAAGATTTTGTGGCAAATGCATCACATGCCAGATTGCCTCTGTTGACAAATCCAACTAAAGGGTCAGTATTTTATTTATTTTTGCCTCCCTGCCTGTCTTATCTATTGGCATGTGCACATGCTAATGAGCTTCTGCTTGTGTATTTATTGCGATCTTGCATGTTTGTACACATAGGCATTTATATATGTGCACACATGTATGTTCGTAATTATTGTGTTTGGTTGTCTTGCATGTTCATTCTTGTTTGTGCTCTTCTTTAGTAAATATTTTGGTGGTGCTTTGCTTCTTCACAATCCATTAAATAGTGTTGCTTTGATCGGTACTGCTGGCCATATGATTGGCTATTGGAGCAACATTAATGTGTGTATGCGAGAGCCTTTCAAGTGATGAGGAAAACACAATCCAATTGTCATGGTTAAGCATCCTACTGACCTAAAACCAATTTTTAGTGGGTCGAGACCCAACATAAATAGAGGGCCACAACGAACCTTGTAATCTACAAAATCTTGGTAACCGGAGGAAAAGAAAGCGAGGTTCATAGCTTAATGAGTAAATGACGATAGAGTAACTATCACTTCCATAAAACTGATGTCTGTGCATTTCCATGGTTTACCGGGCAACCATTGTATAAAAACTGTAGGTATAGCAAGGGACAATTATGTATCTTGGTTTCAATCTCTATTGCATTTTATATAGTTGTCAACCTTTGAACTGTTTTATATGTCATCTAGATCTTCCATGGATGTACCATCTAGCTTCAGCGAGGATGAAACTGCAGAAACTAGTTCTTCCTCGGGTTAACAACACTTATGGTTGATGGATTGTACTTTGTAGAGAGGCTGTCTGGAGTCCTTGAGACCCGTATAACGTTGTATAATTGCTTTTGTACATCTGGGAAAAAGATTGTCTTCCATCTTACTAACTGGAAAGCACTGCTAGGAACATTGGGCTTGGACAGCATTTTTGTTCATTGTGTTCTGTCCTTGAATAGTGTTCGGCTGTTAATATACGTACAAAATCTTTTTTGATTATTTAGTTAATTAAATGCTTTGTGAAGGAAAGTTGTGATGAATTTTGGTGAATCACACCTTATGCCAACTCTGAAGAACCAACATCTTACATAATAGCTTGCATATATCATTTTCTTGTTATTTTCTCGTTGTTAGGAGATGTGTGTACACTTGGGTATTATATTTGTTTCATATCAAATACGTATCATATTTATTTTATATTAAATATGTATAAAATATAAAAATTATTGTATTTAAAGCTCAAATTTTATCCGGCTTGGTTTGGTAGTTATTTAAGTATATTTATATTTATAATTATATTACATAAAAATTAATAAATAAGTAATATATATATATATATATATATACACACACATTAATATTTTATGTTTGCATATATTCAGTCTCAATTAAACATCAAATTAAATTAATAAACTCATTTTTTAAGTTTTATTTTATTGATTATTTATTTTATTATAGTTAATATTCATTATAAAATTTGTTTTATATTTTATTTGAAAAATTTTAAATTTGTTCAAACTTACGCATACATAGACAGCTCCTTTTAAAATAGGTCAAGATTGCACAATAAATGAGACTTTTCTTTTGGATTAGATTTAGACAAATTTGAAGTTTATTAATATTATGTTTAGATTCAATTCGAATACAATCTAACTGAATTCATAAATGGATTTAATTTAAACTTAAAGATCTAAATTTTCAAAGTCTCGCTCATGTCATAACAATAATCAGATTATTTTCAAAAGAAGTATTGCTAAAAGAAAAGATTATCTAAGATATATCATATTAACATATATGTTTTTCATTCAAATTATATCATATAATCACATTATTAAAAAAAAATTTATTATTAAATAATTAATTAATTTATTAAAATTAATATTCACCATTTAATTATTAGAAGTAACATATGAAAAATAATTGATTTTTTTAATAATATAATTATATGACATAATTTGAATAAAATAATTATATACTGCTATTGCAGAATTGTTTCATACATCTTTTCTCTACTACTAAAACTTGTTAAAAAGCAACAATATTAATAAATTCCTTCATTCAACAAAAGCATAAAAATTTTCAAAGAATCCAATATAACCTCTTTTAAAACTAAAAATTCTAAAACTCAAAAGTATTTCCTAGTCTGCATCTCGCATCTACATAAAGGACAATTGGTTTTCCTCTTAACCCACTCGAAAATACAAAAATCATGGAACTTATGGCTGCAGCAAATCATGGCTGTAGCTTCCTCTCCTTTCTCCATATCTTCTTGACAAATCCCACAAACTTGTCCATCTTCTTCAATTTTCACAGCATTAGTTCCAGCAAAAGCAGGATCAATAGTTTCAGCCAAGATTTTAGCCAGCTCAATCCCAACCTCTAACTGAACTTCCATTAACGTTGATTCATAATCTCGGTTGGTCTGGCGAGCCCTTGACATGGCAAGCCTTGTTGTCATGTTTTCACACTTGATGAACTCAAGTTGTTCAACGTCCAACTTCCCTGAGAAAGAAGTTCTTGGATCGTAAGAACCATCGAAAGTTGAGTAAAGTCCCCAGTTGCTTAACCTGTTCAGGGTTTTTGCTTGCCGGGTTGCTATTTGTTTCACAATATCCATGGCGATCTTAAATATATAATACTCAATTGATATGTAAACGATTGGTTTTTCTTTTAATTCTTGAAAAAAAAAATATTTTGGAAAGCTTAAAGAAGTCAAAGAGATGGTAGACGAAGACGCAAACTAAGACTAATGATTCAGAAGAGGCGGTGAGAAAGCTTTAGAAACAACTACTTAAATAAGAATTGTACTTGCTTACTAAGTAGTAAAACCGCGTGGGCTTAGACCGACATTGGCATGTTTTGGCAAGTTTTACTAAAAATTTTAGTTCTCGATTTTGATTGGGTAAAAGTTTTGTTTGCTGGAAAAGGCAAAAATAAAGTTTTTAACCTAATTGGTTGATTTATATGGATTTTTACTATAAGAGATTTGGTTGATTTATATAGATTTTTACTATAAGAGATGACACATAATTAATACTAAAAGTTGTGTCCCTTTGTATTTACTAATAGTTATATTTCTTTAAAAGACATATTTCTTTGAAAGAATAGTGTTTATATAAATAGACATTTATATGGAAAAGGTAAAAATAAAGTTTTTAACTTAATTGGTTGATTTATATAGATTTTTACTATAAAAGATGACACACATAATTATTACTAAAAGTTGTGTGCCTTCATATTTACTAATAGTTATATTTCTTTAAAAGACATATTTCTTTAAAAGATGGTGTTTATACAAATAGACATTTATATGAATAGTTATATATGTACAAAGAGACTTTTATTTAATTATAAATAGAATTCCTCTTCCTTTTTTAAGATACAAGATAGAAAATATCTCATACAAATATTCTGCATATCAAATAAAAGCCAAAAAAAGCCCCATAAGTTTTCCATAACCAAGTCTTATAATTCTATTTTTATGCCAATTAAGGTTCAATGGATTAATTTTGTTAATGCAAAATGTAGACTTTATTGTATCTTTAAAGTTTATCGTCAATAACTCTTTAGCATATCAATTAATCAAGTGGTGGGGATGAATAAAACCTTAAGGAAAGGCTAGTAATTACTTGTCTTTAAGACTTTTTTCAATTTCTTATGTTTTTCTAAACTTCAAGTTCTAACAAGTATTTCACAAATTTAAAATTTAAATCTTAATAATTATAATTTTTTATTTTTAAATTGTTGTGTAAAAACATATATATGAACATTAAGGTTTAATATAAATGATTAGGGTAGAGATATAATGTTTGAACAAGATATATGATTTGATTATGTTTTATTATTGTTAAAGTGATGTTGTTTCACATTTAATAAATATATAATTTCTTGTAATTTTATATTCAAGTTGGATTCCTCCACTTTTTGCCAATTTGTTTTAAAATTGATGTTTAACATGATATTAGAGTTAGGATTTTCTTCTATTACTCTTTTCAAATCGTTTACGTATTAGGCTATCAATTTTCGCTTACACGTAATATAGGCCTATTTCACTTACAGTCAATTGGTTTTAAGTTGAATACTTAATATATTATCAGAAGCAAGAATTTTTTCTGTTGTCCTTTTCAAATTTATCACGTGATAGATTTTTTTTCATATCTGTTTACGTGTGATGGAGTCTATTAAAGTAGTATTATCTTACATTTAATAAATATATAATTTTTGTATGTTCAAATTGAATCCCTTTATTTTCTACCAATTAATTTTAAATTGTAGAACTGCTAAGCGCTTAATTGGAATATGGTTAACCCAATTTCAAGGCACAAAACTCAACTCACGTTTCTCTTGTTTGTCATTGATTTTTTAGGTTCTGATTTTTGAACAAATTTTCAATCTCGAGTTTTTTATTCGTAACTACTTTAGTCATAAAGAGGAAAAAATGAAGCCAAAAAAAAAAAAAAAAAACAGAGTGGAACCAAAAAGGGGAAAAAAGCCAAAAAAATAAAGAGAAAATAAAAAAGGGAGAGTTGGTTGAACGAAAGTCGATTCGTTGTCCAATTGAGTTAAAACTTTATCAATAGGTTTATGATTCAGAGTTTTACATTTTTAACGATGAATATTGGGTTTGAAGCTCTCTAAGAACAAATTTAAGGTGAATTTTTTAAGTTACTTATTTAGTGAGATTTCTTCAATTATCTCTCTAGTTGTTGATTAGCTTTAGTTTTAACTACAAAAAAATTTTGTATGTCCATTATTTGATAGTGGAGATTTTTTTGATGGCCCGTGAGTTTTTTTTTTCTCTACATTGGAGGGGTTTCACGTAAATTTTAGTGTGCTTTATTTTTTTTACATTGTTAATTGTTGGTTGTTGTCTATTGCTGTGGGTTTAACCTTATATGCATTATATAGTAGCATAAATTCTAGGAAGAACCAAAGTTCTAGATTCAATATTTGATAATTATTAAAATTATTAACCACAATCTTAATATTTTTGTTACTCTCGGTACTAGTTTTGTTACTTTTGGTACTGGTATCGATCTAGGACTTAATATCGATTTTATTTCTAAGACAAAAGTGAAGAATTTTCCAATTAAAAAATTTTCTATGTGAAAATTTACCCTTAACATCTAGAATATCCGATATGTTGTTTTTGCATTATTGTGTTTGTTTCTTTAGGCTCAAAAAGTGGTATTAGAGTGAGTTATTTTTAAGACATCGATATAAAAGCAACCCATGACAAAAATAAATTCTGTTTGAGATCATGAAAGGTGATATAAGTTTTATGATGAAATTAATAGCATCAAATTATTCAAGTTGAAAGCCTATGATAAAGAATCATTTATATTGTAAAGATTTGTATGAGTCGATATGAGGTGATTCGACTAAATTAGCAGATATGAAAGATAAAAATTGAAATAAGTTAGGCAAAAAGACATTGGTTACAATAAAAAAAATAGGCTAATATCATCGTATTTCATCATGTAGCACAAGAGATAGATGCCTATACTATTTGAGAGCATTATATGAGAGAAAAATAGGTATGAATAAAATTATGCTTGTTAAAAGCTTGCAACTTTACAGTACAGGGATGTACGATCTATTATAGAGCACTTGTGTGATTTTTAAGATATATTTAATCAAATGACTACTATAGAGCTTAAGATGGATGATGAAATAAATGTATTGTTTCTTTTGGGTTCATTCCCAGATAATTAAAATACTTTAGTTGTGAATATTATTAATTCAGCTCCTGATTACAAGGTAACATTGAAAATGGTAAAAGACAATATGCTTAATGAAAAAGTAAGATGAAAAGATTTAGACCTTGAGAATTAAGCTCTTGTCACAGAGAACAGAGATAGAAACATCGAAAGAGGTAAAAACTCAAAAGGTTATAGTAAGTCTAAACATAAATCATAGTCCAGAGATAAAATGAAGTGTTTTCATTATGATAAAACATGTCATATAAAGCGATACTGTAAAATCTTGAAGCAAGAGTGAAAAGATGAGCAAGGTAAGAGTTCAGATAATGATAATATTGTAGTAGAATTTAGACAGTGATTTAGTTATGTTAATTTGTACACATGTTGATTGTAATCATGTTGGTAATTTCGACATTGAATGGATAGTTGACACAAGAGTGGCATATCATTGTGTTTCTAAAAGAGAGTTATTTATAACTTACAAAATAGGAGACTTTGGTTACACCAAGACAGGAAACAAGAGTGTGTCGTAAATTATTAGGATTAGTGATATTGTTGTATAAACTAGTACGAACTACATGTTAACTATGAAGGATGTTAGATACATTCCAAATATGAAAATAAACTTACTTGTTATTAATGTTTTTAATAAGAAAAGATATAAGAGTTGATAAAAGAATGGGCAGTGAAAGCCTTTCAAAAGATCTATGATAGTTGCATTTGACACAAGTTTTGATTACATTTTCCTATAAAGCACAAAGATATGTAAACTTTAAAGTAATGAGATATAGAATCTCTTCCTTCAAAACTTTTTAGTATTATTTTATCTAGCATATATGTGATAAAAGATATACATTAAAATATAAATTATATCAAACATCTAATTTAAAATTAATTAATAATAAATAAAAAAATTTAACTTAAATATAAAATCACAAGTTATTTAGGATTTAACATATATAAAATACTATTATTTTAACAAATCTCGTTGCATTGGATACAATAATAAGTAAAATGCATAACAAATTCAGGTATAAGAAGAAGCTAGGCTCTGATACCATGTTAGACATTTTTATTTATTATCAATTAATTTTACGTTAGATATTTAATATAATATTAAAATATATATTTTATTTTGTTTTTAATTGCTTAATACTCTTTATAAGTTTGTTACTTGATAGTTTTACTTACATATAATGTCACATAATAGTTCCAACTACATCAAATATTAAAGTACTTTTTATTTGACGTCTATTAAATTTTAGATTTCTTATAGTCTTATATTAAAGTTAAACTTTTTCACCGAATTTCAATTGTTTTTTAGCTTGGATGCTTAACAAAATCTTGATTTAATTTTTCAATTTGTGAACACCTCTTTATGCTAACAGAATTATTGGAGTTGATAAAGATCAAATATTTCGCTTATAAAATCTAAATTCAATTCTTACAGCTAATATATTTTTTTTATGAGCAATCTATAAGTCTAATGTGAATATTCCCTAAAGTTTGCGGTATATTTTAACCCGAGAGCCAACATCACTTAAACTTTGCTAACAAAAAAATATCTTTATTCTTCTAAATTTCGACCTCTTGTTCCCAAAAGAAAAAGAAAAACGAAAAAACATTTGTTTGTTTGTACTCGAAGTCACAGAAAGAGTCATTGAAATTGTTTTCTCATCAAACTTTTTTAAAAAAGTTTAATGCTTTAGGAAATTAAAGGGTCATTTGGAGATGTTTATTTTGTGTTTTATGTTTCTGTTTTCATCTTTTTTGGAAATTGGAAACAAAATTATGTTTTGTGGGTTGTTTTTGTTTTAAAAATAAAAAATTGAAAATAAATTTTAGGAATTGTTGGAAGTGAAAAAAAAATTGATGTTTTCGATATTTTGAAAACATTTCGATTATTGTTACTATATGGGTGAGTGAATAGCACGCGTGAGTGAACAATATCAGTTTTAATAACAAAATATTAAAAGATGATCATCAAAGCTATCAAAACTTGGATTTGATTCTCAGACAATTGATAAACCAGCCACTCAATCACTTTGTATTGTGATCCTTTATCTTGGTGTTTCTGCAACAAAAATAAAATTTTCAAAAATGTTTCCAATTTTAATAAATAAAATAAAATAAAACAAAATAAAATAAAAAAATATATAACTCACAACAATGCCAAACATTCCGTGTGTTAACTTCTTTACATTTTTCATTGTTTGATGTATAATGAAAAAAAAATGTTGGTGAAAGAAAAAAGTTATTTAAGAAAGAACCTCTAAAGTAATTAAAGAACATGACGAAATGTTTTAAACAGATTCATTTGCTTTCTTAATGGGTGTGTATGAGCATATTTTATTTTTCAAAATATTAGTATCCCAAACGCAAGTCAGAATGTCATTCTTGGGAAATCAATGCTTCTTTCTACACACAAAAAAAAAAAAAAAAAATCACTCAATAAAATTTTTTTTTCCAAAACTAAAAACCCTAAAATAAATTGATGTTTTACCAACTGAATTTTTGCTTCCTTTCTTTTTCCATAAAAGAGGTTTTCATCTTGAATTGCCAATGTTAGATTATGCAATGGACCACATTTGATTTTGACCTAACAAGCACATTCAATAATTTTTATAAATGGAAATATTATTGTACATAAAAATGAAAATTCTCAAAGGGCCAAGCTAGCTTATCTAATGAGCAGACGACAGCCAAACCAGAAACATATTATTATTTACATTGACACATGATCTTTTTAGCATTTGCAAAAAATAAGTCAAGCAATGGACCAACTAGAAAGAAAATCGTAGTTTTATAACTTCATTTTTAGGATACAATGGATTAGAAGAAAAGGCAAAGGGCGATGGTAGCATTCTCCTATAAGGCTCAAATTTAGCTCACCACCATTGGAGGACCCAACGTGATAACATTCTCCAGTTCTTCCAAACCCAAACACTTTGTAATGGTCGCTTCTATGCTTTCCATGATTGCATTAGCTGCAGATATGGCTACGTAGATATATAGACTCTACATCTGCCTCTGCCAAGTGGTAAAACTATTAGCATTATACAATTCAAATTTTATTAAAAAGGCATAAGTGTCCAAAGCAAAGAAACAATGTTAAAAACCAATCTGGTAATAAGGGGAAGGTTTAAGAGTCAAGAGGTTCAATTGGAGGTTGATGTCAGCATCACATAATGGATAATTTAAAATAGTATGCAAATAGAATAATGATAAAAGTCCTAAGTTAGTGGCCGGGAAATGACAATGAATAGGATGGATAAATTTGAATCAGAAGCAGAGGTGTTTGTGACAATGGAACATGTTTGTCTGAAGCGTGACATATTCATAAAGAGTGCACTAGTGAGAGAATAGCTGCTTCGGACAGCTGTACCCTACTTTTTCTCCTTTCCTCTGTCTACCTTCCTTTGTCTGCATGTGTTTGTATCTCCTGGCCTCCTCCCCTGTACACCTCTTGTCTCAGTTCTATCAGCAGAGGGCACTCTTACTGCTTTGCTTCCCTTGTAGTCTTTATGCTTAACGTTGATCATGTATCTTCAATTTTGAAATATTGGAAATCTCATGTGTATCTTCTATTTATTGCTCCAGCAGAGCCAATCTATGTTGGAGATCCCCAACAGCCCCATTCTCCAGATATCTATGGAGTTATAAAGCAGCCGAATCTTAACATTGTTAGTGGACTCTCTGATGCATTATTTCCACATTTTAGCATACATAGTGGACAACCAAACTATTTTTCTATTATATTCTATAATTATATGACCCTGATCCACTGTTGAAAATTAGTGAGTTCAATCAGTGTATGAACTAACTATAATGTTAAACTTTTTTGTCAGAAGGTGCCATATTCCAATCCTGTTGAGAGATAACTGAATTCAGGGTATTGTCTTTGATATCAGAGGTTTGCTGTGAGTGTTATACCATGGGTGATATGTGTCAGACACTGCTAGTATTTACAGGAGTTAAGGCCGAGGAAAAGTGCTATACTTCTTTTAATTTTAGCAACTTTCTCTGGCCCCACTATTCATTGTCGAGAAATAAAGGAGAAATTCTCCAAAAATTTCTTTGGAAGGTAGAGGAATCCTCTATCCTTGCGGAGAAATCTTTCAGAGATCCGCCTGTAAATGGATCTTTAGTTGAATAGCGATACAACCATTTCCAGCTGGAGCTTTTGGCATTGTAGCCTGAAGGCTTTGGTTGGATCTTTTATCTTCTGTGATCCTCAAGTGTCCGTTATTCTTGGGTACATGGAAGTCACTGTAATTCTTCCAATTAGAAGCTATATTGACATCAGTTATAATGGAAATCATATTTAAAAAGATGATCATCTTTCTTTTTAAGAATAAGTTATTCAAAGTGATTTTCTTATGATTGTCTTTTTCTGTTTAATGCCCCTGTAGATAAATAAAGGATATAATTCCAAGATGAGTTCTCGGGATTCTTGTATGGAGGGTGCAAAATTTAATATGGTGAATGGGTCTGAAAGACAGGAAAGGAAATCTCACCATCAATTAAAATACAAGTCTTCTGTTCTTTGTTCCAACCCTTTCCCTCGCCAGAACTCTTCGTTAAATAGCTGTAAAGGTTCCTCTGAAAAAACTGCAGTCTGTGACTGCAAAAGAGGTAGGATGAGCTCTAAGCTTTCCGTTGAAAGGATAGGATCAGATTCTCTTTCTAACCATCCTGGCTCCTATGGTGAGAAAATTGCTAATGAACAAGAAAAGCCTTGGTTGCATGACGATGATAATCATACCTATAAGGCACCAAAGAATGAAAACCACTCTAGAACTTCAAATTTGATACATCGGTGCAGTGAGTTCGTGGGACCTGAGAGAGGGCCCTCTGCAAGGATGTCAAAGGTGTCATTATTGGGTTATATTTCTGCTCGCATGCTTTTTCATTCAGAAGTGGCAGTTGCAAATGTTTTGGCTAGAAAATCATGTGTTTCACATTCATGCAGGTGGAGAAACTTGGTGGCGAATGAGCTAAAAACCGGGTACCCAGTCAGAGTTAAAACTGATCCAACAAATGAACTGAGAGTAAGTTGAAGCTTTAGTTGCTTCCAGTCAAGCATGCATACCATGTCCAATGAATTAATGTTTTGCTTTTGAAACCCCTCTTTCATATTTTAAGGTTGCTAAACGAGTCAATGTTGAATTTCCTCTGCAAGATTTTGTGGCAAATGCATCACATGCCAGATTGCCTCTGTTGCAAATCCGACTAAAGGGTCAGTATTTTATTTATTTTTGCCCCCCTTCCTGTTTTATCTATTGGCATGTGCACATGCCAATGAGATTCTGCTTGTGTATTTATTGCGATCTTGCATGTTTGTACACATAGGCATCTATCACACATGTATGTTCGTAATTATTGTGTATGGCTGTAATGCATGTTCACTCTTGTTTGTGCTCTTCCTTAGGAAATATTTTGGTGGCGCTTTGCTTTGGTTATTAGTTTATGAGATTAACTTTACAAATCATTAAATAGTGTTGCTTTGATTGGTACCTCTGGCCATATGAGTGGCTATTGGAGCAACATTTATGTGTCTGCGTGAGCGCCTTTCAAGTGATGAGGAAAACACAATACAATTGTCTGGGTTAAGCATCCTACTGGCCTAAAACCAAGTTTTAGTAGGTTGAGACCCAACATAAATAGAGGGCCACAACAAACCTTGTAATCTACAAAATCTTGGTATCTGAGGAAAATAAAGCAAGGTTCATAGCTTAAATAAAATTCTGGATTTGGAAGTACAGCTTTAGCTGAAAACTAAACTAATATGGGATAATAAAACACTCACGAACAACAGCCTATTACGTGAAGTATTAATTTGGTAATTCATATTAATTAAGTCTTCCATTTTGCTTCTCTTTAATCAGTGTAAGTCTTGTATTGTCTATTTGCTTAATGAGCAAATGACAATAGAGTAACTGTCACTTCCATAAAAGTTATGTCTGTGCATTTCCATGGTTTACCGGGCAACCATTGTATAAAAACTGTAGGTATAGCAAGGGATAATTATGTATCTTGGTTTCAATCTTTATTGCATTTATATAGTTGTCAACCTTTGAACTGTTTTATATGTCATCTAGATCTTCCATGGATGTACCATCTAGCTTCAGCGAGGATGAAACTGCAGAAACTAGTTCTTCCTCGGGTTAACGACACTTATGGTTGATGGATTGTTCTTTGTAGAGAGGCTGTCTGGAGTCCTTGAGACACGTATAACGTTGTATAGTTGCTTTTGTACATCTGGGAAAAAGATTGTCTTCCATCTTACTAACTGGAAAGCACTGCTAAGAACATTGGGCACGGACAGCATTTTTGTTTATTGTATTCTGTCCTTGAATAGTGTTCTACTGTTGATATGCGTACAAAATCTTTTTGGATTATTTAGTTAATTAAATGCTTTGTGAAGGAAAGTCGTCATGAATTTTGGTGAATCAAATCTTATGCCAACTCTGAATAACCAACATCTTACATAGCAGCTTGCATATCATATTTATTTATGTCAAATACTTATAAAATATAAAAATTATTGTATTTGAAGCTTAAATTTGATCTGGTTATTTAAGAATATTTAATATCTGTAATTATACTATATGAAAATGAATAAATAATTAAATAAAATATATATACATTAATATTTTATATTTGCATGTTTTCAGTCTCACCTAAACATCACTTTAAATTAACAAGCTCATTTTTTAAGTTTTATTTTATTAATTATTTATTTTAATATAGTTAATATTTATTATAAATTTTTTTATATTTTTATTTGAAAAATTAAACAATTTTCAACTTTAGCAGACATAGACAGCTCCTTTTAAAAATAAGTCAAGCCTACACAATAAAGGAGACTTATATTTTGTATCGGATTTAGACAAATTTGAGGTTTATTAATATTCTTAGATCCAATTCAAATACAATCTAATGGGATTCATAAATTGATTTAATTTAAAGATCTAAATTTTCAAAGCCTCGTTCATGTCATAATAATAATAAAATTATTATCAAAAGAATTATTTCTAAAGGAAAAGATTGTCTAATACAGATACATGATATTAACATATATACTTTTCATTTAAATCATATCATATAATTATATTATTTAAAAAATTTATTTGTTATTAAATAATTAAATGATTTATTAAAATTAATATTCACCGTTTAATTATTAGAAGTAACGTATGAAAAATAACCGATTTTTTTAATAATACAACTATATGGCATAATTCGAATAAAATAATTATATACTGCTATTGCAGAATTGTTTCATACATCTTTTCTCTATTATTAAAACTTGTTAAAAAGCAACAATATTAATAAATTCCTTCATTCAACAAAAGCATAAAAATTTTCAAAGAATCCAATATAACCTTTTTAAACTAAAAATTCTAAAACTCAAAGTATTTCCTAGTCAGCATCTCACATCTACATAAAGGACAATTGGTTTTCCTCTTAACCCACTCGAAAATACAAAAACCATGGAACTTATGGCTGCAGCAAATCATGGTTCTAGCTTCCTCTCCTTTCTCCATATCTTCTTGACAAATCCCACAAACTTGTCCATCTTCTTCAATTTTCACAGCATTAGTTCCAGAAAAAGCAGGATCAATAGTTTCAGCCAAGATTTTAGCCAGCTCAATCCCAACCTCTAACTGAACTTCCATTAACGTTGATTCATAATCTCGGTTGGTCTGGCGAGCCCTTGACATGGCAAGCCTTGTTGTCATGGTTTCACACTTGATGAACTCAAGTTGTTCATCGTCCAACTTCTCTGAGAAAGTAGTTCTTGGATCGTAAGAACCATCGAAAGTTGAGTAAAGTCCCCAGTTGCTTAACCTGTTCAGGGTTTTTGCTTGCCGGGTAGCTATTTGTTTCACAATATCCATGGCGATCTTAAATATATAATACTCAATTGATATGTAAACGACTGGTTTTTCTTTTAATTCTTGAAAAAAAAACGTTTTGGAAAGCTTAAAGAAGTCAAAGAGATGGTAGACGAAGAAACTAATTAAGAGTAATGATTCAGAAGAGGCGGTGAGAAAGCTTTAGAAACAAATACTTGAATAAGAATTGTACTTGCTTACTAAGTAGTAAAACCACGTGGGCTTAGACCGACATCGGCACGCTTTGGCAAGTTTTACTAAAAATTTTAGTTGTCGACTTTGATTGGGTAAAAGTTTTGTTGGCTGGAAAAGGTTAAAATAAAGTTTTTAACTTAATTGGTTGATTTATATAGATTTTTACTATGAGAGATGATACACATAATTATTACTAAAAGTTATGTCCCTTCATATTTACTAATAATTACATTTCTTTTTCTTTAAAAGACATATTTCTTTAAAAGAATGGTGTTTATATAAATAAACAGTTATATGGATAGTTATATATGTACAAAGAGACTTCTATTTAATTATAAATAGAATTTTTTTCTTTTTTGAAGATACAAAATAAAAAATATCTTGTAGAAATATTCTACATATCAAATAAAAGCTAGAAAAAGCCCCATTATAAGTTTTTTATAGTCAAGTCATACAATTATATTTTTATGTCAGTTAAGGTTCAATGGATTGATTTTGTTAATGTAAAATACAATCAATCATTAAGTTTTATTATATCTTTAAAGTTTATTATCAATAACTCTTTAGCATATCAATTAACCAAGTGGTAGAGAGAAAACCTTAAGGAAAAGCACCATTACATGCCTTGAAGACTTTTTCTATTTCCCATGTTTTTCTAAACTTCAAGTTCTAACAAATATTTCACAAATTGAAAATTTAAATCTTAATAATTATAATTTTTTATTTTTAAATTGTTGTGTAAACACATATATATGAATATTAAGGTTTAATGTAAATGACTGGGGTAGAGATATAATGTTTGAACAAGATATATGATTTGATTATGGTTTATTATTGTTAAAGTGACGTTATTTCAAATTTAATAAATATCTAGTTTTTTGTAGTTTTATATTTAAGTTGGACTCTTTCAGTTTCTGTCAATTTGTTTTAAGATTGATGCTTAATATGATATTAGAGTTAGAATTTTCTTCTATTACTCTTTTCAAATCTTTTACGTGTTAGGCTATCTATTTCTGCTTACATGTGATATGGGCTTGTTTCACTTACAGTCAATTGATTTTAAGTTGAATACTTAATATATTATCAGAACCAATATTTTCTTTGGTTGTTCTTTTCAAATTTATCACGTGATAAACTTTTTTCATATCTGTTTATGTGTGAGGGATTTATTAAAATGATATCATCTTATATTTAATAAATATATAATTTTTTATAATCTTATTTTCAAATTGAATCCCTTTATTTTTTACCAATTAATTTCAAATTATAGAGTTGCTAAGCGCTCAATTGGAATACGGTTAACCCAATTTCAAGCCACAAAACTCAACTCATGTTTCTCTTATTTGTCATTGATTTTTTCGGTTTTGATTTCTGAACAAATTTTCAATCCCAAGTTGTTTATTCATAACTACTCTAGTCATAAAAGTTTAAAAGGAAATGATAGGCTTTAATTTGAATAACATGAAATTTTTGTGTTCAAAGTTTGCTACACACACAACCATTATTTATGTCTCTCACTTCCAATTCAAACCATTTGACACAACCGAATCCGAAATATTATTTGATTACATATTCCTATTTATGTATTAATGTTGATTATGTTTTAGGCCAAATTGCTTTAAATTCAGTTATATGGTTGGTCCGAAGAAAGAACTTGTTTAAAACATGCCCTTGTCTGAACTTCAAATGGATAGGACAAATTTGCTATTTATGTTCACCCTCATCTTTGAGCATATATAATTTTATATTCTCAGTTGTAATTTTTTAATTTTTTTTAAGATGTAGATTATTCTTTTTATTAGAAACTCGAAAGAATATTAAAATTTATATTAAAAATCCAAGCTTTGATATTAATTGTTAGAGAAAGGGTTTTGTTTTCTTCCACTAATAATATCATGATTGTGATAAAACTGATCTTTCAAGATTTTAACATGATAAACATAAATGTAATGGATTTTTTTATATATTATATGTGATATTAAATTATATAATAAAAAGTAATAATTTATTATCTTCTAAATTTTTACTTTTTTATGATAGAATTTGTTGTCTCGAAATGAAAATCAGAGCTATAACTTTCTATTGAAAACAACTCGTTTTACACTATTGAAGTAAGATTTTTATCAGCTTTACGTTTTTTTTGTTATCTTCATTAGAATGTGAAAAAAACAACTTTTCTCTTTCACTAACCCTTTTAATATCTCCAATCTTGGATAAAAGTGGAATTGGATCCCATAGTTGCTAGCCATAGCTGCTAGAAAAGATGCATGAAAAAGCTTTGTTATAATATCTGGATATCTTGATTTGATTGACTTAGTTTGAAATAGTATTAAAATAATTGAGTAAATTAGACTTTAGATTGACCTAGCTATAGTTATGTTATTTTTGTTTATGGATTTAATAATTTGTGATATGATCTGAGGTGAGAGGTCATGTAGGCTGGCTAGTTGTAGCCTTCTACTCAAAAATTAAATGACTCTTACTCACATGCGTCACCCTGCTTTTCAGAGTCAATCAGTATCTCAACCTCCACGTCAGGGCAGCTTCTTGTTGAAACTTGAGGGGCCTTGGCCCCCTCAAAATTTTTAAATACCTTTAACATATATGTTGTGAAGGATTGTGTTATTAGAACTTAAAGATGTATTGATTTCCCCTGAAATTTTAAAATTTTTAGCATGCGTATATATTGGTTCTTCAAATTAAAATTATTATTTTTATGGTTTTATAATTTAATTTTATGTACTATTATCATTAAAGAGGGATTAAAATGATATTACTATTTGTCTATTTGTTATACCAATCAATTAATAATTACTTTAAAATCTTTAAAATTAAGAAATTTGTCATAAGTTTTAAATTACAATTATGTGAATTTAACAAAAATCAAATTATTTTTTTAGTTTTCTCAATAAGACTCTAATTTTCAACAAAGTCATAATTATATGATTTTTATTTCTTTCTAACTTCAATTCTCGTTTTCATGTGATTTTAATTGTTTCATTTAATTTTATTTTGGATCTCTATTTAATACTATCCTAAAATCTTTTTTTTTTTAAAAAATCAGAGTCTAACCTTTTTTAAAAAATAGGAAAAAAATCACAACTTCTAATCTTAAAATTTCAACTTCATTCTTTTAAAATTATATTTAATTTTCTTTTTTTATAAAAAAATTATTAAAAATTGATTTACTTATACTATTTTATTTCAATTTTAAACTACAAAAAAAATTTTCTATGTCATTGAAAAACTATACTATCATAGTAATATTTTTATTGTACAATTTATATGCTTGATTTTATTAATATATTTTGTGCTTATTTTTTATTAATATATATATGTGATTGAATTTAAAAAAAAAAAAAAAAGATAAAGTATTAGTATAATTGGCCCTTCAAAAATATACGTCAAGATCCACCGCTACTCAACGCGCCTATATAATCCACTGCTAGCTAACTAGCTAGTATTTTACTTTTTGAGGATATTCTTTTTTTTTAAGTTATATTATTTGGTTTAATTTTTTTTTCTTAAAGAGAGAATTTATTATGCACAAAAACACATACATATACCATAAGTTTTACTAGTTCAATAAAAAAATAGTAAAAAATTATTCCATTTGCAAGAAGCATAAATTAAGAGTCCATCAGAGACAGATCGTAAAATATGTTTGAGGGGTTTTGATTTCCCAAAATTTTGAAATTTTTTATTACGTACTTGTGTTTGGTTAAATAAATTCTAAATGATTCTCTTCAACTAAAAATATCAATATTTTTTATAATTTCGTAATTTAATTTTGTGCCTTACAATTTTCTTTTTGTTACATTGTGTCTTGCAATTTAAAAATGTTAAAATTATATTATTATTCGTCTTTTATTATATCCACTAATTGTTATTTAGAAATTTTTAAAATTAAGAATTTTGTTATTTATTTTAAATTATAATCACTGATTTTAACTTTTTAGATTTCTTAATAATACTAAGTCTTTAATCAAGTATTAAATGTATTTGTTTGTGAAAAAAAATTGAATCTTATTTATTGGAATATATAATCCAATACTTTATTAATAGATTACGCGAAAATTTTTTTTTTAGCTAATTACAAATTTTTCGGTTCATATCATATTTGACTTTTAATTACTTCAAATCTCTATCTTATGTTATTTTGCAATATTTTCAACATAAAATTCAGATCAAAATCACTTTAAATGTCAGAAAAAAATTCCATTGATTTTCAATTTCAAAATTTTCAACTTCATTTTTAAAAGTATATTTATTTTTCTTGTTTGTATAATTTTTTTAATGATTGAATTATGCTTATTTGTGCATTTTTTTTATTTTGGATTTAAACTATAAAAAAATAAAGAAAATTTTTATATTTCATTGAAAGATTATGTAATTAGTAATTCTACTATTAATTTAAAAGTAACATTATTTTTAAACGGGTGTCATATTCTAAACTTACTTTTATTAATGTACTTTTTTATACATATATATTTTAATTAATAAATATGGTTAAATACATCTTATAAAATTAGGTTAAAACATAATATTAATTGATTCTTCAAAATCGAATATTAAAATTTATCATTGTGTCCAACGATAGTATAATCTATCAATCAGTGTTAAATTTTTAATTTTAATAATTAAAATTTAATCATTATAACTTCAAATTAAAAAAAATACTTTTAGATGAACAATACTATATATCTAAATCAAAATTTCATATATGGTCTAGTAAAGTTTCACAACTATGAACCATACAAATAAATTCATACATTAATATTGTATTTGCAATTTGAGTAGTAAAAAAA